GGCTTAGAACAACAGGAATGGATTCTCTCACCATTCTGGAGGCCAAAAGTCCAAAATCAAGGTTGAAACATGCTCGCGCTTGAGGCTCCAGGGGGAGAATCGTTTGCCTCTTCCAGCTTCGGGGCTGTTGGCATTCTTTGCGGCTGCACCCCTCCAGTCTCCACCTCTGTCTTCACATGCCTTCTTTGTGTGTTTTCACCTCTTCTGTCTGTTATAAGGACACTCATCATTGGATTTAGGGCCCACCTAGGTAATCCAGGATGATCTCATCTCAAGATCTTAACTTAATTACATCCGCAAAGACCCTTTTGCCCAGGTTCCAAGAGTTAGAACGGGGACCTAGCTTTTGGGAGGCCACCAGTCAATCTACTCCAGAAGGGCAATTATGAAAACTCTAGGCTGGGTCTCCAGGAACGACTCCCAGAACCCTGTGGGACCGATCTGCCAAGGGAGCCGCCATGTTTGCCACATGCAGGAGGTCAAGAACCACCAATGGAGCAACTGTGTTTAAAACCCCACTGCTGGAGCTGTGAGCCTGGAATCAGGAATTGGCCTCTGCTGCTGCAGCAACCGTCTCTGGACGCTGACAAAACTGCTGAGTGGACCCTGGGATGCTGCTATAAAAAATTCCATGTCTTCTTGAGCCCATGAGTTGCCAGGTAGAGTTGACTACATAGAGCAGATGGCTGAGGTGGACTCTTGTTTGTTGTCCATCTAGCATCCACTCATTTAATTTCCAGGAAAACCTCCTGATTTTCATTTGGGGAACCACCCTGTATCAGCTATCCGTGGCTGTGTAACAAACTATCCCCAAAGCTTCATGACTTCAAACAATAACAAGTCATTATTTCTCATGGTTCCACAAGTTGACCAGGCTTAGCTGGGTGATTCTTTGGCTCCTTGTGATGTCTGGAGGTCCAGCTGGTCTGGACTGTCCAAGATGGCCCCACCCACACAACTGGCAGGTAGTGCTGGGTGCTGGCTGGGAGATAAGCTAGGAATATTGGCCAGGGCTCCTCAAATCTCCCCAACATGGGCCTCTCCACATGGCTGCTTGGGCTTCCTCACAGCATTCCATGTAGGTGTGCTCCAAGCACACAAAAGCAGAATCCGTAGATTTCTTCAGGCCCAGCCTTGAAATTTACACAGTGTCACATCTACCATATTTTATTGGTCAAAACAGAGCACAAGGTTAGCCTAGCTTCAAGGGGAGGGGAAATGGACTCTACCTCTCAATGAGAAGAGTGGCAAAGAATTTGGGGCCAGCTTTAGTCCACCATTTGCCTCTGACTTCTCTCAAGCCATGTGGTTCTGATGGAGCTGACACCCCTACCTGGAGTGGCATGTGACCCATGCCTGGCCTATCAGAACATCTTTTCCTCAGCAACAATGATGGGATCAGGGATGGTTGCATGATCCAAGTCAGGCCAAAATGGCAATCAGACTCACCGTGGGGACTTTGTTAGAGCCCTCTGGAAAAGATACTCTTTACTTTCCATGTCAAACTGGAATGGGGGCGAATATAGGGAGATGCTGCCACCGCCTTGCCATCACCAGGGAGCGTAAGAATGAAGCCAGAGCCAGGAGGAGAGAGAGGGTGAAAGTGAGTCCAGAAGACATGGGTTAATTCTGAATACGGCAAAGCTTCATTCGACTTGGACAGCTCGGGAGCATCCCCGAACTGATGCTGCTGCCGGCGAACGCGCCAGGGAACCAGGCTGGGGCTCTAGCTGTCCTTCCCCGCCACCCACTGCCCGGATAGCATATGAGAATGAAGGCAAACCTCAGATGGAATTCGACCAGCTGCAGGATCGTTCCTATCAGGAAGCAGGTACAAGGACAGTGATGAAACGTGTTCCCGTAGGCTTGGTCATGTCCCCCTCTGTCCTCAGGCCCTCTGATAGGCACTTCCATGCACAGTTTGCTCTGAGGCAGATGCAATGATATTCTCTTGGTGGGGTCAGCCAAACTCCGGGGGGGATCAGGTGTCACAGTCCTCTGAAAATGGGGAGATGACAGAGGACCAAATGGACCTCCAGATTAGCGTGCTGCCCTGAGAGTGCCAGGTGGCTGCACTAGCCTCCGTCCCACCGGGGTGCAGAGCCTGTCATCTTAAACCATGTCGCTTACCATTTCTAAGATCTCGATGCTAATTAAGGGGTCCTCTACAGTAGATTTAGATACGGATATTTAAAACACTTGAGTAGCCACTTCTGGAGTGTGGGTTCCGAATTAGTTTCTTCTAAATGCTAAGCAACTGCCTTTAGGGTAAGTACACTTACACATACACACACATCACTGTACGTATAGGGATGCTTTAGAGTGAATTGTCACGCAGGTAACATAACACCATTCTGATAGGATGAGACGCCACATGCAGCCTTTTTATAAGAAGCTCTCTCTTTCCTTGATTTCCCTGGAAAGGAAAGCAGACGACTAAGGATGAAATCTTGGTGCCGATCAGGGGAAGCTCCGAGATGCGAGGGACATAGGGAATCTCATTCTGGGGTCCTTGGAAGACCGTGGAGAGGCCCCAGGGTATGTAGGCGTCCTCTGAATCATAAGGAAAATGATTTGTGTCACTGCATTTGTGAATCTGGGGTGTGGAGGTAGGGAGAGCGTGGCAGCTTCTGTCAGATTCTAGAAAGGGTCCTGAGACCCCCCCAAAGCGTTAACAGTCTCTCTGAACTCAGCATGGTTGGGGAGAAGAGGTGTAAAGAAACCTCTTGTTCGGAGAGAGCCTGGAGAAGCTTTAGCAATTTCCCGGTACAGTCAGCTCTGTGGGTCCAGGAATCGTGTTCTACAAGGGAGATTTCAAACTAATCATGCAAGGCCAGCGGCTGGGTTAAATGTTGAGCATTTCAGAAGCAACAGTGTTTTTAAAATTTTATTTTTAATTTTTAAAAGTTTTGAATTGTGGTAGAAAACACATAAGATAAAATTTACCACCTGAACCATTTTTAAGTGTACAATTCAGTAGCGTTAAATATATTCACATAGTTGTGCAACAAATCTGCAGAACTTGTTTATCTTGCAAAACTGAAACTCTGTACTCTTTGAACAACTCCTCTCTCTCCCCTCCCCCAGTCCCTGGAAACCACCCTTCTACTTTCTGTCTCTATGAATTTGATGACTTTAAGTGCCTCATACAATATATGTGTCCTTTTATGACTGGCTTATTTCACTTAGCCTAATGTCCTTAAGCTTCATCCGTATTGTAGCACGTGTCAGGATTTCCTTCCTTTCTAAGGCTGAGTAATGTTCCATTGTATGGATAGACCACATTTTGTTTATCTATTCATCCATTGATGGACATTTGGGTTGCTTCCACTCTTTGGCTACAGTGAATAATGCTGCTATGAACGTAGGTGTGAAAAATATCTCTTTGAGTCCTTGCTTTCAATTCTTTTGGATAAACACCCAGAAGTGAAATTGCTGGATCATATAGTAGTTCTATTTTTAATTTTTTGAGGAACCCCCATACTGTTTTCCATAGTGGTAGAAGTCATATACTGTTTTATCTCAACCTAGAGCAGAGTCACTCAGAGACTAAGGCACAGAAATTTTGGTCTCCTTTAAAATAGCTTTTTTGTATGTGAAGGAAGTACAGGATGGTGGTTAGGATCAGTTAGACAGAGCTGGGTTCGAATCTCAGCTCCACATCCAATTGGTTTTGTGACAACCTCTTTAGGCCATTATCTACTCAGCTGTGACGTGGCTAATAGCGCTACTCAGCTCACAGGGCTGTCACAAGGATTAAAGGAGAGCCTGGATAGGTCGCAAAGGCTGGAGACCCAGGGTAGATGGTTCTTTTGTTCAAGAAAACACATCAACGTCTTCATGAGGAAAGATTAAAGCGGGGCTGCATCTGGAACAGAGAGATTGGAACAAAGGGGGATAACTTGCTCTGGGAACAAAGTAATAAGAATTTTGAGTTTTCCATGTGCAAGCTAGACTCCCCCAGACTGAGGCAACAGAGTTGAAGGGAGAAATGTGTCAATACAGGGAGAGGAAGAAAACTGCAAAATGGTGGCCCCAGGAGGCTTAGATGAGAGAAGGCCAGAAATGGATGCCTAGTGAGGGGAATCAGCCAGAAAATTGTAGGACATTCAATTTGAAGTTGCTTCTTTGCACAAGCTCTCTAAGAGGCATTTCTCCATTCATTACAGCTCTTTGGGTCTCATGGACATGAGCTCCATTGGTTTTCAAAGCCAGATGTTTGGGGGGCTCATCTCTCAGGTGCAGGTCTTAAAAGTTGAGGTGCCCAATGTGGGGTACGAATCCACTCCTCAGGGAGGAGCTCTGGGTTCGTGAGCTCCCTCCGACTGTGGGTCACTGCGCTGGGGCCGGAGTTTATCTCGAGACTGTCTCAGTCTCTCCTTTCCGCCTCTCCGTGGCTCTTACCTCATTTGCCAACGTGAAGGAGCTGCTCAGGTAGTTTTCAGGTCTTTTTCAGAGGATGTTGTTCCATATGCAGTTGTAGATTGGGTGTGTCCATGGGAGGAGGTGAGTTCAGGATCTTCCTACTTTGCCATCTTGGACTGTCTCCTGAAGTTTCTTCTCGCCCTTTACTGTACTGTAAGGTCCCACCATCATCTTCAAACCTTCAGTAATAGGCAAAGAGGACGTGCAATCATTTTTATTTAACAAACACTTTTTCAGTGCTGACCATGTGCCAGGCACGGTTAGAATCCCTTCCCATATATAGACCTTCCCAACAATGAGAAGAGGAAACTGAGGCACAGGACAGTTAAGTAACTGGTCTGAGGTCTCAGAGTAGGTCACTGGTAGTGCTAGGATTCCAGCCTAGGCCATCTGGTTCCAGAATCCCCGCTCACAGCTATTCTGCTATGCTGCTTCTCAAGAGGGGGAAGGCAGGAGCGTGAAGGATAGGCAAGAGGTGCTGAGGGGACAGAGAGAGCAGGAGCTGGGGAAGGGAGGTGATTTGCAGTTACCTGGAGACCATGCATGTCTGAGATTCCTCAGACACACCCTTCAGGCACAGGGGCCTCACCTGGCTATGAAGGAAGAGAACTTGGGGCTATCTGATTACATGGGCCTGGCATGGGGTAAGTGCTCAATGAAGAAGAACGCTGGTCAGCATCACCACTCCTCCCAGTCGCTTCTGACTATATCCTGCCTTTGAATTGCACACCTTCGGCAACAAGGTCAGAATTCAAGTTCCCACTTCTGCTGGGGTGCTTGGGAGGACCACTTCCCTTTGTCACGTCTCTCTCCAGACTCCATAACTCACACCTCCAGGAGTAAGATTGTCCCCATGCAGCCTGGAGAACCTCCCCGGAGGCGAGGTGAGTCCCGGGCCCTCCTTGAGGACAGGGAGGGCAGACCTCTCCCCAGCTGCACCTCCTAAGTGTGGTCGCTGAGGTGGCTGATTAACGGTTCTGCTTTTCCAGGTTTGACACCATGGGGGGCCTTGGAACTGAAGTCAGGTGGGGTGTGGGAGTCAGAGACTCTTACCAGGACTCAGATCTTGAACTTGTGTTTGCCTCTGTGTGCATGTGTGTGAGAGAGAGAGAGAGAGAGGGAGAGAGAGAGAGATGTGGCACCCACATCTCACCTGCAGAGAAATCCAACAAAATACCCTTTCTCTTTTGACAATTCTTCACAGATCCCTTTCCTTCCCAAAGGTTTTCTTAAGGGTGTGTGTGTGGCATTTCTGCCTTTTCCCCCCACCTCCAATGACAAAGGAAAACAGCAGATGAAAAGGAAAAGCAAGAGAAGGAGGATAAAGGGAAAGACGAATCCTTTCCCTCCTCTCTATCAATAACCTTGACTTTCTGGATGGTTCCCGCCATTGCTGCTTCTAGCCTTTGTCCTCTCATCTCCAATAGTTCAAGTCCCCAGAGCGAGGTCTAGAGCATCTTTCTCTGCATCTTAAGATGAGATCAAGTAGGTAGCCAGCAGGCAGCAAATAACTCAAAAGAGGAACAAAGAAGTATTTTGATGCTTTTAAAAATTGTTTTCTGAACCAGCTGATGATCAGGTAAACACTGTAAGTGTTCACGAGTGGGCAGAGCAACGAAATTATAGAAAATACTCCCAGTGTGCACCGTGAATCCATCTCCAGTCTCCTCACCAATTCCTCCTACCCTAAAAATTAATTTCTTCTCAACAGTCAGCTCTAAGGAAGAGCCTGAGGATCTCAGGAGTGCATGCTCTCAAAACAAGTTGTTTTTCATCTGAAAACTGGAGACTTTAGCTTGAAAAACGACTCTTTCTGTATGGCACAAACGTGGCAGTGGGGTATGGGCATGTGATATGGGTGGTGTGGGGGGTCTTCTTGAAGGCAGCAACTCTAGGGGAAGGCCCTTCTGCTGCAGTGGGCGCACTGCCCAGCACGCAGTCAGAGCACACAGAAACCCCCAACAAATGCACAGAGACCCCCTAGGCAGAATCTCCAGGTGAGCAGACCCTCTTCAGGAGCACTGGCTCCTCACTGAGAACAGTGTCCCCAGGCTCAAGCCACTCTACTCCTGTCATCTCCAGTCTTGAGCCCCAGAGCCACCCCTGGGTCCTGATCAAAACTGTTCCCTTAGCTTTTGACCCAGCAATTGGACTTCTAGAAAGTTATCCTTCTGATATACTTGTCCATTTGCAAAAAGATACATGCACAAGGCTGCTCATTGCTACATGGCTCAAAACAGCAAAATCTTGGAAGCAATCTAAATGTCCATCAGGGGAGGACTGGCTAAATTAATTATGGCGCACCCAGACGATGACGTTGAAAACAGTCTTTCAATATGTGCTGATAGGAGAAGATCTGCAAGCCATACTGCTGGCTGATAAAAGCTCATTGCAGACCAGTATGTGACTGTATCATCCTAGTCTTAGTTGGGTTTCCCAAAAAGCAGACCCTGAGACAAGAATCTGGGTGCAAGTCATTATTTGGGAGGTGATTCAGGAAGCACAGTGAGGGAAGAGGGAAGCAAGATAGAGCAGGGAGGATGCCAATAAAGGCCATGTCAATGAGCAGGTTCCCACTGTGGGCAACTGAGGTTCAGTCCCATGGGGACTCGCTGAGAGCCTGTGTGGAACATGCCTCAGGATCATGCCGCCAAGGGGCAAGGAATCTGGGGTATTTATTCACCAACTCCAACCCCTCATCGGTTGAGGGGCATTCATTCCCTGGCACTTCCAGCCAGCCCTGAGGGCCAGCGAGCATCTCCTTGTCCAGAGAGCATGCTCATGCAGAAAGATTCAGGAAGAGGTAGGCTTTGAGCAGAATGTCTGAAGGTGCCTCTGGGGGTGGGTGGGGTAATCCAGGGGACACTGTGAGTGGGTATGACAGCATCTGCTGTGGTCCCATTTATGCATCCGAAAGAAAATTTTAATATATAGATATTATAAATATGTTTGGAAAAATTCTAGGGATGTGGGCTTAGAGACCTAGGAGATAGATTGTGGAGAGGTACTTTTTACCCTGAACCTTTCTATGGTGTTCGCATTTAAAAACATATCCATATGCAACTGAAATAATTGAAAAACTGATCAATCATTTTAAAACTGCTCTCTCTACAGTTATTAAAGCCCTGACTTAATGTTTCTGCCCTCCTTGAGTCTCTTCCAGGGCCAAACAACAATTCCTTGCATGTCTTGTGTGCTGTCTGTGCACCAAGCACAGCACAATCCTCTTTCTAGGCATTATCGAAGCGGAGCTCTGTGACAACCCTGGGAGGTAGGAACAGGAGCCCCAATTTAGAGACGGGGAAATTGAGCTTAAAGAACCTAACTTTAACTTGCTCAGGGTCATCCAATGAGAGTGTGAGTCCATGAGTGGAACCAGAATTTGAACCAAACCTGTCTGTCTCCTGAACCTGTGCCTGCAGCCGTGATGGTGTTTCCATAGCTTCTCCTCCTTTGATCTCGGGGAGCCTTTCATTCTTCTTTAGGTCTACTGCTTTTCCCTCCCCAGGTGTTTCAGAAGCTGCTGGTCCCTCATCAGCCTCTTCCAGCTGATGCGCTCCAGATACGGGGAGGGAGTGCATACTTGGTGCTTGGAGTGGAGGAGTCATTCCCCTCTGGTATGGGCTGAATCGTGTCCCCCTAAAATATATGTTGAAGTCTTAACTCCTGAGGCCAGTACCTCAGGATGTGACCTTATTTGGAGATAGGATGCTTACAAGGGTTATCAAATTAAAATGAGGTCATGAGGATGGGCCTCAATACAGTATGACTGGTGTCCTTATAAAAAGGGGAAATTCAGAGAAAGACACACTCAGGGAGAAGGCCATGCAAAGATGATGACAAAGATCGGGGTGATGCCTCTACAAGCCAAGGGCTGCCAAAGATTCCCAGCTAACCACTAGAATCTAAGGGAGAGGCCTGGAACAGATTCTCCCTCCAGCCGTCAGAAGGAACCAACTCTGCTGACACCTTGATCTTGGACTTTGGATCTTGGACTTCCAGCCTCCAGAACGGTGAGACAGTCCATTTCTGTTGTTTATGCCACCCAGTTTGTAGTGCTTTGTTATGGCAGTGCTAGGAAACTAAAACACCCTGTTTCAAGACTGTCACTACCTTGTCACCTTCCATTCTAGCAGGTATTTTCCCCCAATCCAGGAATCTAGAGAAAAGGGGAGAGAAGGCAGTTTTCACAGCAGTGGCAGTGCCCATCCCACCTCTGACTTTTTCCCCAAATGAGCTGAAATGTCTTGCTGATAAGAGGACATCTAGAAATGAATAGTTCCAGCCAAAGGCTTCCAGAATCACGTAATTCTTCCTGTCTTTGATGCTTGGAATGAATGAATGAGTGAATGAATGAAGTCATAAATCTCTATTGCCCTTGGCCTTACTCTAAATAGAAGCTTCTCTGCTTATGAAATTTTGGCTCACCAACTGATGGAAAGCTCAGCACTAGAAAAAAAATATATACTCACTCTGCCGCCTTGAACAGGTGGAGTTAGTGGTGGTCTCTTCAGATTAATGAGCAAATGGATTCAGGGACAGTCGTAATCCAACCTGTTCACGAATAGAGACATGTCTGTGTTTCCCTCATTTTTCCTTCTCCCTGCTTTATTGCAAACCTTTTGTGAAGCGTAATGTATGTACAGTAAAGTGCACACGTCATGAATGTACAACTCCATGAATTTTTACAAAGTAAACTCACCAAGACCATTACCAGCACCCCCAGATAGTGCCTTCTCACCTCCCAGGTAGTAGGTCACCACTTTTCTGATTTCTGTCACCATAGATTACTTTAGCCTGGTTTTGGACTTTATATAGATGGAATCATCCAGAATGCACTCTTTAGTGTCTGCCTTCTTTCCCTCCACATCCTGTACGTGAGAGTTCCTATGTGTTGTATGGACAAGTCGTTTGTTCTTTTTCATTGTTGCATAATATTCCACAGCAGAAATGCACCACAATTTATTTATCCATTCTACTTCTGATGAACATTTGGGTTGTCCTCAGTCTTTGGCTAATTGAATGGCATGAGGAACATCATTTTGCAGGTCTTTTGGTGAACATATGTGCTGTCTATGGGTATTTAGCCAGGAGGGGAATTGCTGGGTGATAGGGTGAACATCTGTTCAGCTCTAGTGATTAGTGCACAGTTTTCCATAATGGCTGTACCAAGTTATAGCCCATCCGCGGCATATGAAGTTCCAGTTGCTCCACATCCTTACCAGCATGTAGTATTTGTTTGATTAGTTTTGATGTACTGGTCATTCTGGTGGGTGTAGTGTTATTTCACAACAATCTGAATTGACATTTCGCAGCTGGCCAATGCTGTTGGGCACCTTTTCCTTCACTTACTGATTTCTCCTTCCTTTTAGTCTTTGCCCCATTCCTCCCTCTCTTACTTCTCTCTTTCTTAAACTCCCTCCTTTTCTTATTTTAAAACCAGTCACCCAAGCCCAAGAGAGAGGTCTCCTTGGAGCTCAGTAAAGGCAATCACGTCCCCCTTTGCCTCTGCTCTCTGTTAGTTTCAAAGTGCCACAAATGTCACTGCCCCAACACAGATGGGCCCCAGCAGGGCGGCTGCGTGTGTGTATCAGGAATGCGGTTTCTGTAGTCTGGCCTTGCCGCGTCTGCCTACCTTGCAGAATTATTTTCCATTACATAAGACTCTGCACAAGGCCTTGAGTTGCCCAGAGGAAAGGCACCGCATAAAATGCAAACTAACAAAAGCATTGATATCAAAGAATGGGGGCCATCCATCACACCCTTGTCACTGGAAGAGGCCCATTATCGGATGGCTGCTGGCAGACTCAGCCCCATCTTACCTAAAAGGCAAGATCTGCCAGCTATAAACAGCCTCCTGGCCCCCAGCCTGGCCAAACACTCAATAATTTGCCTATCAATTAAGCCCAAGGAGAGGGGAAGGGGGGCTGTGAGCAGGAGAGAGGGAGAAACGCAGGCAGCTGAGCAGAAACTGCTGGTTTGTCACAAGCTCGCTTCCATTAACCTTATCCTCGGCTCTCCCAAATGGCTCATTTACGAGTGCTCAGTTTGTCCATCCATGAAACGGGTCCAACTGAACCGAGTAGTCCTCATCTCATACTTGGCAGAGATTATAAAGATAAATCTCATAAAAAGCATAGAGCACTTGTAGTTACAGAAAGAAGTAACGGGGCAAAAGCAAGATGCTCGGGGCATATGTAACAGTGGACCTGAGGCAGGCACAAGGAGCCTGTGATTTGGGGAGACATGGGGTGAGGGGGGATCAGGTGAGGTTGATGGGCTCTGCAACTTCCAACCTGCTAAAGGCACCCGAATCTAATTCACACGTCCACCCTCAAGAAAGGGGAGTCCATCGACTCCCACTGCAGAGGCACATCTTTACCATTCCAACTCCATCAGTGGTAATGCCCCAGAAACTGGGTTCGGAGGTGGAGTCACGTGGTCCAGTGCTGGCCAAGGAGCCGTGAGCTAATTCTGTTGCGGGGCTTCCTTACTCTTAGGAGGGCAGCCCTGGAGACCCTCCTGATCTTCAGCAGGCCTGCAGCGCGCCGCTGGGGTTTCTTCTCACGGAGCAGGGCCCTGCTGTGCGGGCTGTTGAATGTGTCGAGTATCACCCCTGCTTGGAAGGGACAATTCTTTGCTTCTAGAGGTTGTGTGTATGCAGGCGATGCCTGAGACGGCAGTAGCCTTTTTGGGACCGGTTGGAGAGGAGCCTCAAAGTACCATCTTGAGGACCTTCCTGTCTTGGGGGTTTCTGTCACTTGTAGCCAAGAGCATCCTAAGGAGGCGGCCTAGAGATCTTTTCAGAACCAGAACAGTTGAAAAGGCCCCGTAACCGAGGGCAGTTGGAGCTGTAAGGCTGGCCTGTCTCAACACACAACCACTCGTCAGAGTCTACACAGAATAGGGTGTGGGCATGAACCGGTGCATGGAGCCCCATGCTCTGCCCACTTCTGGCCTGAGGCATCTCAGGGCATATGGGTAAGCTGGGGGGCTGGGGGCGCTCTTCTCCACTGTCAAGAAGAGACGACGAGAAAAGCAGAGCTCTCAACGTGGGTTTCATGGAGTAACCAAGGACACAGAGATCCCACTAGGATTGTGGGGGCAGGGCGAGAGTGCGTGGGGTGGAGGGCTCCTATGAGGGGAGAGCAAGCGGAGATGGAGAGCTTTCAGTTTATACAGTACTTTTAACTCCTCAGTGGTCACTGACACGCATCGTCTCACTCCTTCCTCATAGAATCACAAATCACAGCCGGCAGGGGTTTCGGGGGGCCTGAGAGATGGTCCTAGATGGGATACAGAAACTCAGAGCAGGCAAGTTACTTCCTCCAGGTCCAGCTAGGGAATGGTGGAGAAGGGGCTCTGAACTGGGGTGCGGGGCTCGACATCTGGCGCCACTTCTGCCCCCCCATGTGACTGGGGAGTAGAGAGAGGAGGGCCATGGGGGGACTGGCTGACCAAATGGAGCCCGTGGAGGGAGAATGAATCTGCTAACTTGGTCTGGCCTCAGAGGACAAAGGACCTCCTTGTGTTTCTTAAGCCCTGGAAGACACAAGAGGGGGTCCCAGAGGTTGACCTCGTGTTTCTGAAGGTGCTTCCTTTCTCTTTTTCCTGGACTCTGGGCTGCAAGGAGACAAACACAGGGTAACTGCAAGTGCCACCTGTCCCACCTGCATCTTTGTTTCGGCCCAGCGCCCACCTTGACTTAGGACTCAGCATTCTTCATGTATCCCCGGGAGAATCTTCTGGCTCCTGAAGCACTCGTGGGCCATGCAGCTTGTAATGATGTATTCGCGGGAAGGTGGAGGAGGAGGATGCCAGGGGGGCATCCTTTGCATGGAATACAGTGTGACTGGCGCCCCCTGGAGGTGGGTGAGGCAGAGGCCCCGTGCGTATCCCAATGCAAAGAGAATAAGAATTCTCATCATAGACTGTCTCAGCAGGCCCTGTCAGGGCTTGCCCATACCCTCTTAGCCCCACTGGAGGCCACCAACCGGCAGCTCCTGGACACAATGACTGTCCTGAGGTGGTCACCGGTGCAAAGTAGGGCAAAAGTGCTGGGAGCTTAGCGCCCTGGGATCAACTCCTGGTCAGTGAGGGAAGGGAGATGGTGCTACACAGCGCAGCTGCCCTGCTCTTCAGTCCACACCTCCGGAGTGGGTCCCACAGAGTCTCCCAGGGGCCCCAGCACCACTGAGCCGCAGATGCCCGCCTGCTCCTCAGCACACCTTTATTGGTTTGCTTCCCCTCCTTGTCTCACTTCCCCAGCCCCTCACCGTGCTTCCTGTGGTCACCTCCCAAATTAACTTCCTGCATCCCAACTTTTCGTTTCAGGTTCTGCTTTTCGGGGGAACTCAGACGAAGACAATCTCAAGGTATTCTCTCTCCCCAACAACTGCCAACAGCGCCTTCCTCTCTGCAGCCCCTTCCCAGCCCCCGTCTTCTTAGCTGCAGTTTCTTCTCTCCCGGATCTCACCCCCAGCCAACATCACCTCCAGAGAACAGCTGTGCCCCGCACAGATGCTGTTTCCCTCTCCACCCCACTCACCCCGCCCCCCCCCGCCCCGCAATGTCAGACAGAGTTTTTCCCATAACTTAAGGAAATGGGAAAGCCTCTCCCCGGATATGGACTTAACCCAGAGGAGGTAAAGCAGGAATGAAATGGCAGTACTCGTGTTGTTTGATCTTTTACTTAACGGCATCTCTCCCAATTCCCAGCAGATAGGAGAGGTGGCAGATTAAAGATGGCCACCAATGCTTTCACACTCCTCCCATCAAGAGGAGGGAGTCTAGATGCCCCCTCCTTTAAATCTGGGTGGGCTCTGTGATGTCTTTGACCGATAGAATATGGCAGAAGGGACGCTGTGCCAATTTTGGTGCCCTGGCCTTAAGAGACGGGCAGCTTCCACGTCCTGCCTCTTGGAACACTCACTCCTGGAGCTGCCATGTAAGAAGTCCCACTCACCCACTACAGACACCACATGGAGAGGCCCTGAGTGGCATGAAGAGGGAGAGCAGCCCAGTGAGCCAAGCCTTCTAGCCTTTTCTGCCGAGGCACCTGACATGGTCCACCTTGACCCTGCAGACCAGCCAGGCTGCCAGTGACTACCACTGAGTGATGGCAGCAGATGCTGCAATGAACAAAAGAATCACCCAGCTGAGGCCCGCCCTCATTCTGGTCCCCAAAGTTGTGAGATATAATAAAATGGTTTTCTTTGGAAGCCCCTGGATTTTGGGATCGTCTATTATGCAGCAGTAGATAACTAGAACAGGAGGCCTTGAAGAAATGTTCATTGAATGAAAGAGCAAAGGAAGTGGGGAGGGGTGCATAGAGGAGGAGAGGGAGGAAAGGAGGGCAGTCCAGCTGTTCTCAGGAGGCTGCAGTGGGGCCGACTAAATGGCAGGCACTCGCAATGCTCGTGACCTCGTTTGGAGGAAAGCCAGGTTCCTTTCACATAAGTTGCCACCTGTGTTTTGTGTCATTGAACTCTGTTACTCTTTCCCCATTGATTGGATGAGGAATCTGCACCCTGGAAAGACATGAGGTGCCCTGGCTTGAGAGCTCTGTCCGGCCTGAACAAGGCTAGTGGGTCCATGCAGTGTGGTGAGGAGCCCACCGGATCAGATCAGCTTTGGGCAAGGTTTCCAATTCTGGACACCTCGAGAGGAAGTGGTAGAAGACAAGCGAAGCTGGGTCTCCAGAATGGAGCTGGCCCCAGAGGCTGGAACAGCCAAGGACGAGACCTGATGACAAGTCCGGTCGTGGCTGCTGACGTTTCCAGAACCAAGGCAGGAGCTTTTACTCATGCTCAGCGCTCCAGGGGCTTCTGTAAACCCCAGCACCTGTGCTGCCTCATTGTGTCTCTGTGCCTGATAACATGGGAGAGCCTAAGAGGACGATGAAGCCAGGGGGCAGTGTGTCTGCGTGCATATGCTCCAGAAGTGCATTTGTGTGTGTCTGCAGGTTGTGTGTGCGAGCATGTGAGTGAGCAGTTTGCTAGGATCTCTGGGCTTAAACCTAGGAAATAAAATATTCCTTCTCCTACGTTTCCTCTTAGAAAAGACATTTTCTTTACAGTTTCCCCTGTGGTGGGGTAAAGACCTGGCCACTGTTGTTAACTGAAGGGTAAGGGATAAGACAGTGGTTTTAAAATATTTTTAAATCTCATAGCCTTTTGTTTCAAACAGAATGTTAGTGAGAAGCCAATAAGGCAAATCGGCTAAAAACCACGATGCTGTGACTTGGGTGGGGGAAGGGAGCCAGGGGCGCAGAGCCTAATCATTGGCACCCTTGGCTTTGAAGAGGCCCCAGGAGTGGCCTAAGACTCTGTAGAGTTCAGAGGCAGAGAATAGTGCCCTGATGGAACTGGAACCCCTGGATTCGAACTCTGTGACCTAAACTCTCTGAGCCTTAGCTTTCTGAACTATTAAATGGGGATTGTACCCATTAGGATGCTCTCAGCTGAATATCCAAGAAAAAGTATTTTAAACAATAAGGGTATATTAATATCTCATATATAACAAGAAGCCCAGAGCCAAGTGGTCTTGGCTTTGATAGCCAAAGAGGTCATGAAGGACCCAGGGTCTTTCTACCTTTCTGTTCTGTCATCCTCTCATGGTCACAAAATGGCTGCTGCTGCTCCAATATTTTGTATCCTTACAGCAGCATTCAAAGGCAGGAAGAACAGGGATAGGCGATGGTGGTAGCAATCTCCTTAAGCATTTCTCCTTTTTCAGAAAGAAACATATTCCTGAGAAATCCCCCACCAGGATCCCTGTTAGGTTCTATTGGCCAGGATGGGGACGTCCCTCAATTAAATCATCAAAGAGTGAAGTTTATATCATGACTGGCTTAGAGTAATTATGAATCATCTCCCGAGGTTGAGCCCACCTTCCATGAACACATTGCCATCCAATATCAGAATTAAACTGGGATCTTGTCAGCCAATAGCAAGGGAGGTAGCTATTGGCAAGCCCAAGGAGAGGCAGCTGTCTGCCCTGCATCTCAGTCTCAGCGGCTGTAAAGGGCCAATCAAATATTGACAGTAAAAATGCTTTGTCAACTGAAAGGGCCAAAGGACGCTGGGAACAAACCTTGTGCTCTAAGGTCTTGAGCACTAGGGTTTCCCTCACACACGTGAGCACATTATTTCTGGCTGAGGACCATCCGTTTCCCCAGTGACTTTGATTCTGCCCCTCTGGGCCAGGCTGTCGGGAGAGAAGACCGAACCCAAGTTGCGAATGTAACTCACAGCCCTGGTTCCCCTCCTTGGTAAGCAACCAGCACTCCGAGCCATCAGATGTAATTATCGAATCAAATCTCCTTGTCGATGTGTTTCGTGTTATCTGATTGCGTGCAGGACGTGTGTGTGGCCGGCTGCTGCTCCTAACCTAGCTTCACCGTGCCATCGTCCAGCCTGAACCGTAAATGTGGAGACATGAGGGACTATGTCCTTGCAGTTCGCTCCGTACTATGCCTGTCCCAGGGCCCGAGCACACCAACCGTTAATAAAGACTTGTGCTGGTAATGAACGCCAGGGGCTGCCTTGCTGTGACATTGACAAGTACAAGAAAAGCTGTGGACACTTCGGAGGGCTGATTTTTTTTACCCCCCTCCCCCGACATTATTCTCCAATTTGTGAATCCAACCTCTTTTGGAAGGATTTTAGAAAACAATACTTATAGTCCTTACAACATTTTATGACAGCGAACACAACTCTTAGACCCCTATTATACCCGTGAGAAAACATTGAGGTACACGGTGCTTATTGATGTGGGGAGGTGGGAATTCACAGCTGATTAAGATTTTATAGAGGCTCTGGGGTGGGGTTTTAGGCTGTGGCAAATTGATCTAAGCCAGTTTGGTCTTGCAAAAATGATTAGGTTCTTTTTGGTAAATCTCTGCAGCCTTCAGTAATTAGAGCCCGGTGAGGGCATAGGGCCCCTCCCCACCCTGAGCCCCTGGGTTTCTGTGAAAGGAAGTCCTCAGGCCAAGTTCTGAGCAAGCTGCCCAAAGCAGTCACAGGACTCCTGTAAATTCCACGAGGTTCCAGCCCTCCGTCCTTTTAAGAGCTTCAACAGCGCCTCGCCTGAGGCGAACGCGAGGGGATTCTTGCAGCACGATTCTCTAACCTTCTAGTCCGACTCCAGGGGCGCAAAATCCACCAAATCAGCAGCTGGATGCACACAGGACCGCTTAGGAACCAAGCCCACGGGGCCACTCCTGCAAGAACCAACCACGGAGCGTGCCAGATTTTCCCTCTCCGCGCCTTCACGGGCTGGAATGCCGCTCCTATTCCCAGCCAACCGACCCCTCTGAAACGCCACTACTTTCACCAGTGACAACTCATTTCTAAGGTCCTCTATGCTAATGAACAAAACCTCTGGTGCCGATTGAAGCATAGGTCCTGGTGGGCTCTGGAGTGTGGACTTGTGATAAAACGCTGATGGATCGTTCCTAAATGCGTGTCCCCAGTTAGGCCTGCTACCTTCTCCTAAAGTAGCTGAAACCTACCACATACAGACACACCCCCCCCAAAACGACCCACAAGGAATTGACCTTACATTACCAACCACAGAACAACTGTTTCCCTCTCCTGCTGACACACATAAACCAGAAGAGCCTACGACAATTTAGCGCCCCCTGTGGTGAAGTTTGGAATCGCCCAATTAGAGAGGGGGCTAAAAACGCTCCTTGTTCAGCCAGCCAGCTCTTTACAGATTACAAAGTGTTTTATAGCAAGACAACAGTGGCCAGAGGGAGGGGCTCCCTGACCTTCCACCTCAATTAAGGCAGTTCCGCTTTCTTGTAAACTTGCACTGGCCCAGAAGATCCCAGGGCCTTTAAAACTTTGAAAACCTCTGGGATAGCCCCTGCAGGGAAGAGGGAAGGGAAGAAGAATGGGAGGGGGGATGGGAGGAGGGTAGGAGGAGGAATGAGAGGAGAGATGGGAGGAGGGATGGGAGGAGGGATGGGAGGAGGAGTGGCAGGAAGGATGGGAGAGGGATGGGAGTGTATGCAGCAGGAAGGGAGGCCAGGCTGGCCTCTGCAGGGAGGCAGGAATCCTGAGGAAGGCCCCCGTTGTGATTCGGAGAACTCTCAGTTCACCCATCCTCCCGAAGGCAATCGTGGTGGTGGTGGTTGTGCTTCCCCTTCAGGAAGGAAGGACTTACATCCTCCGCTGCTGGGAGTGCTGCCTGCAGCCGGCCCTCAGCTGTCAGCCCCCTTCCCCAAGGCTGAAGAACCTGCCTGCCCAGGGCATGCCAACTTTGGGGGCAGCCCTCACCCAGGGGCTGATCCACGCGAGGCTCATCCCTCCAGCCCAACTCCGAACAACTCGGAAGGGTCATCCCGCTCCAGAGTTCTCCGTGGGGTCAGCTCAGGCCTCTGTCAGGCTAGTAGTTCTGTGTCCCCCTCTGCCTGCTTCTGCTTCCAGCCCCGCCCTTCTCCAGGAGCGGATCCTAAGGGTGCTCCCTAAAAAATGTCCTGAATGCTAATCACGGCCTCAGCATCTGCTTCCCCAGGAAACCCGACCTGCAACATCACGGGTGGGTCGCTCTGCCCACCTGACAGTGTGGAGCTGGGACAGAGCGTGCTGGCGCTGGAGCCCAGGACCCATCGAGGGGAGAAAAGAGGCCATAACCAGCTTTAACGACCAGCTAGTCTGCAGACCGTCCCTGGCCCCCAGCTCCAGCTGCCTCTCCCTCTCCCCACCCCGGAGGCCCTCTCTGAGGGCATTAGACCTGGGTTTCGGGCTGTGTGCATTCTCAGATCTTCCTTTTCCCTGTGAGCACAGATCCTCCCATCCTGTGGCTTTGCCGGCTTAGAACCTGAGCGGGCAGGAGAACAGAAGAGAAATGTGCGGACACAGAGAGGGGGAGGGGAAGAGGAGGAAAAGAGCGTGCCTGTGTCTAATATGTAAAGAATGGCCCCTCTTACGTGCAAAAATGTGACAATTGACCCCCCAAACAGCTCCCTCCTGCCCTGAAAGTGTTAATCCACCTCGTCGGGGGGAGGCTGGCCCCCCACAGGCTCTTTCCCTGGGCCTGCCTGGCTGGGGATCAGGCCCATTGTTAATAAGTGATGACAGCCCAGCTCCTCCGTGGATTCCCCTGGGGTTTTGTGTCAGAAACGTCTTCCCTCGCTGCCGCCGCTCGAACTGACAGGCTCCGGCTCCCGGCAGGCAGCTGTGAACACAGGCCAGCCTCCGCCAGGATGCCC